GAGAGAGAAAAGAGACAGAAAGAAAGAGTAAGAGGGAATAAAAGGAAGGAAGAGGGAGAGAGAAAAGAGACAGAAAGAAAGAGTAAGAGAATGAAAGGAAGGAAGAGGGAGAGATAGAAAAAGAGAAAGAGTAAGAGGGAATAAAAGGAAGGAAGAGGGAGAGAGAAAAGAGACAGAAAGAAAGAGTAAGAATGAAAGGAAGGAAGAGGGAGAGAGAAAAAGAGACAGAGAGAAAGAGTAAGAGAATGGAAGGAAGAGGGAGAGAGAGAAAGACAGAAAGGAAGAGAGTAAGAGAATGAAAGGAAGGAAGAGGGAGAGATAGAAAAAGAGAAAGAGTAAGAGGGAATAAAAGGAAGGAAGAGGGAGAGAGAAAAGAGACAGAAAGAAAGAGTAAGAATGAAAGGAAGGAAGAGGGAGAGAGAAAAAGAGACAGAGAGAAAGAGTAAGAGAATGGAAGGAAGAGGGAGAGAGAGAAAGACAGAAAGGAAGAGAGTAAGAGAATGAAAGGAAGGAAGAGGGAGAGATAGAAAAAGAGAAAGAGTAAGAGGGAATAAAAGGAAGGAAGAGGGAGAGAGAAAAGAGACAGAAAGAAAGAGTAAGAATGAAAGGAAGGAAGAGGGAGAGAGAAAAAGAGACAGAGAGAAAGAGTAAGAGAATGGAAGGAAGAGGGAGAGAGAGAAAGACAGAAAGGAAGAGAGTAAGAGAATGAAAGGAAGGAAGAGGGAAAGAGAAAGAGAGTAAGAGAATAAAAGGAAGTGAGAGAAAAAGAAAGACAGAGAAAGAGATAGTAAGTGGGGGGGGAAGACGAAAGAAGGAAGAGGAAGGAAAGAAAGAAAGGGAGAGAGACACACAAGAAAGGAAGGAAGGAAAGGAAGAGAGAGATAGAAGGAAGGAAGGAAGAAAAAGAAAGAGAACTTATGATCACAATTGAGCCCAAACGTTTGGTTGCTAAGCAAGAGCGTTGTTAAATGAGCTTAACCACATTTTACAAGTTGGCCACTCCCACCTGGTCACATGACCTCCAATCCACACCCACAAAATAGGCCACTCCTACAGAATGGGTTCTAAAAAATGTTGAAACCCACCACTGATAACAACCTTCCCATGGAGCATTTCCTGCTATCATCGAGGGAGGGACGCTTCAGGAAAGTCCTCCATTGGCAGACCTCCAAGGTCCCTTCCAGCACTATGTCTCCATGGTGCTGGCTGGGGAATTCTGGGAATTGAAGTCCACAAGTCTTAAAGTGGTCTAGTAACCTTGGCAACTTTAAGACTTGTGGACTTCAGCTCCCAGAATTCCCCAGCCAGCACCATAGAGACATAGGGCTGGAAAGGACCTTGGAGGTCTGCCATTGGAGGACTTTCCTTGAAGCGCCCCTCCCTCGGTGATAGCAGAAAACTGGTGGCAGGGCATTCTGGGAGTTGTGGTCCACAAGTCTTAAAGTTGCCAAGGTTGGAGACCTCTGATCTAGTTTATTCCCTTGATCAGATCCCTGAGGGGATCTTCCCAAACCCCAAAGGAAAACCCATTACTTTGTCACTTGAGAATGAACCCTTCTCTCTTACTCGTACTTGTTACGCTTATATTTATAGAAAAATATATAGAATAACAAGTGTTGGAAGGGACCTTGAAGGTCTTCTAGTCCAACCCCCTGCTTAAGTAGGAAACCTTATTCCACAGGATTTATATATAAAACCTTATACTCCTATAAGAGTTCTGTGAGAAGCGGGGATCCTTCCCAGCTGCAAATCCAACATGGAGGAATGGGGGAATTTGACGGCCCAGCGATCCCACTGACCGTTCTCAAGCTTCCTTACCGATATTCGGCCACCCCTCCGGCGTATTTCTTCATGGACACCTCGGAGCTCATGCCGTAAAAAAGCTTGTATTGCTTGCCTTCTTTTTCAATCAGGTCCCCTCCGGATTCGGTGTGTCCCGCCAACATGCCCCCCACCATCACAAAGTCTGCACCAGCGCCTGCGAGGGGAAATTTGAATTATATGAGCAAAACCAACAGCTCCCCCACATAGATAGAAAGATAGATAGGCAAGGATAGAGAGATATAGAGATATAGATGATAGATAGATAGNCTTGCAGGCGTTTCAGGACCCAACTAGGGAAGATTATCAGTGCCAGAAGGGAGAAACAGGAAGGAAGGAAGGAAGGAAGAAGACTGGGGGGGTCCTTGATGCTCTCTGAGCTGGGTGGTTTTCTTGCCGACGTTTCAGGACCCAACTAGGGAATGCCATCAGTGCTAGAAGGGGAGAAGAGTTCGAGAGAGGAGGAGGAAGTGGAAGAGAAGGGAAAAGACTATGGAGTCCTTGGGGCTCTCTTGAGCTGGGTTCTGCGCTCGCAGGCATTTCACGACCTAACTAGGTAACATCATCAGTATTCGAAGGGAGCGAGGTTTGCAGAGGAGGGCTGTGGGGTCCTTGGTGCTCTCTGAGCTGGGTGGTTTTCTTCCAGGCGTTTAGGACCCAACTAGGGAACATTATCAGTGCCAGGAAGGAAGGAAGGAAGGAAGGAGGAAAGGAAGGAAGGAAGGAAGGAAGGAGAAGGACTGGGGGTTCCTTGATGCTTTCTGAGCTAGGTGGTTTCCTTGCAAATGTTTCAGGACCCAACTAGGGAACATCAGTGCCAGGAAGGAGGAAGGAAGGAAGGAAGGAGGAAGACTGGGGGGTGGGGTCCTTGGTGCTCTCTGAGCTTGGTGGTTTTCCTGCAGACCTTTCAATACCCAACTAGGGAACATCATCAGTGCTAAGAGGGAGGAGGGTTTGTGGAGTAGAAGAGAAGGGGAGGAGGAGGAGGCGGAAGAGAGCAGGGGGGAGGAGGAGGACTGTGGGGTCCTGGGTGCTCTCTGAACTCGGATGTTTTCTGCCAGACATTTCACAACCCAACTAGGGAACGTCATCAGCGTTACAAAGCAGAGAGGCTCGCAAACGAGAGACGGAGGAGGGAGAAGAGAGCAAAAGAGGAGGGAGGAGGATTGTGGGGGTCCTTGGTGATCTCCTTGCAAATGTCTCATGAGCCAACTAGCTAACATCATCAGTGCAAGAAGGGAGTGGGGTTTTGGGGCCAGGAGGAGGAGGAGGGCCTCCGTGTTCTCTCTGCTTGGTGGTTTTGCCGACGTTTTACGACCCAACTAGGGAACATCATCAGTGCTAGAAGGGAGAGTGAGAGGAGGAGGATCGTGGGGTCCTTGTTGCTCTCTGAGCTTGGTGCTTTCCTTGCTGACGTTTCACGACCCGACTAGGGAACGGCATCAGCGCTATCGGCAGGGAAGGCCATCCGCGGAATGGAAAAATGCACGAAAGTTGCGCTTGGAATAAGCCGACGATCTAAAAGAAATGGAGGGCTTCTCTACCACCGAAGAACCAATCAAGCCACCCTGCTTTGATTGGCATCTGGGTTATTGGAGGGGGGGGGGGGGGTTGGGCAGAGGTGAGG